TATTTACGTTTCGGTCGATAATCCTACCAGTTTTGCTATATATATATATATAATATATATATATTATATATATATATATATATATATATATATATATTTGAGTTCCGGGTCACTATGTGCCTACTCCCCTTACTCGAGACGTACCAGTATCGTGTTCTGTATTATAAATACAAGAACTGTCTCTCGGCACTGAGGTCTTAATCTGCCTACTCCTCAGTGTCGAGTGAGGTTGATTACATACAAGTATTGATACAAAGAGCTCGAGACGTAAATTGCAAAGTCTAGACATGTTTTATAGACTTTAAAAAAGCATTTGACAAGGTGCAACATCAAAAATTATTTGAAATACTAAAAGAATCTAGTATTGATGATAAAGATTTACGTACGAGTAGTACGAGTAGACAACGAAACCTCACAAGAATTCACGATAAAACGGGGAGTACGTCAGGGCTGCACTTTGACACCGACGTTGTTCAATACTTACTCGGAAATGCTGTTCAGGGAAGCTATTGATGGTTTAACAGAAGGTATTAAAAACAATGGTGAAATAATAAACATTTTAAGATATGCGGTTTTGATTGCTGATAATGCAGAGGATCTGCAAACATTAATGGACCATGTAGTGGAAGCCTGTGAGGAAATTAAACTGCAAGAAGACCAAAATTCTTGTAGTAAGTAAAAACCACGTAATACATCACCAATTCACAGCTAATAATGAACCCTTGTAAATAGTTGATAAAATTACTGGAAATGGGACCACTCACAGGAAATAGGATGTCGTATAGAAAAAGCGAGAGCTGTCTTCAATCACCTCAGGAAGATTTTATGTAATATGCACCTGAACATTGATATAAGAACGCCAGTCTTGAGATGCTATGTATTTTCTACCCTTTTATATGGAGTCGAAGCCTGGACCTTGACAGAGGCAACATCCAAACTATTAGAAGCCTTCGAAATGTGGTGCTATCGCCGCGCCGCATGCTCAGAAGTATCATAAGTATCAACTAATTTAACTAATTTTACAAGGCAAGATAGAAGGCAAAAAATCTCAACGGCGCAGAAGGACATCGTGGTTGACGAACATCAGATAGTGGGCAGGAATGACTACCATACATCTATTTAGAGCATCTGTCAACAAAGTTGTATGACCCAACATGATTGCCAACATCCAAAGAGTATAGGCACCAAAAGAAGAAGAAGTAATAATTTGCAGGTGTTGAGTGAGTACGTCAACAAAAATGGCTTCTGCAAAACAAAAATGTTTCTCCATTGAAGAAAAAAGTTTTATAATACAATGTTTACAAGCTCTGTGATGGTTGCAGCTAACATAGGGGCACGACAAAAAAGAAGCTGTTAATTTGCAAACACCCCAAGATGTTTTAAAAATGTACGATCTCTGCCGGTAGATTATGAGAGCAATCGCAAGGCCTGGATGACATGTGATATTTTTATCAAATGGATACGCGATTGGGATCGTGAACTGACTAATAAAAAGAAAAAAATTCTGCTTCTGGTTGATAATTGTCCAGCTCATCCCTTAATCAGCGACTTGAAAAGCATAATTCTCAGTTTCTTGAGCAATGAACTGCTTTTTTTAAAGCATACCTAAATAAATATTCATAAAACATATTAAATCATTCTTTTTCATTTATTTTGTTTTCTTTTAGACAAAAACTTTCTTAATTAACTTTTGTTTTGATCACCGTTGTACTGTTTTGAACGAAACGTTGTTGCTTAACGTTGTTTTTGCTAAATGAACCAGCAAATATATTTAATTAGGTGTTGGTAAAGGTTGATTTACGTAAGAAGTATTCGTGTTTGTACCACCATAAAAGTGCAGCTCGTGTAATTGTATATTTGCATGAACGATTGCTTCAAGGACTCCTTATCACACTTCCATCGTCCTTTTTGGAATGCCTTTCAACATTTTTAATCTTTTATAATTGTTATTTCAGGAAAAACAAAAAGAGTTCTGTTGAACAATATTATTACTTATATTTCATGCATTCTCTTGACATGTATTAAGAGTATATTTTCAAAGGTATTTGAGTATGGATATTTAAAGAGATTAAATGGTTATCTAAAAAACAATAATATCATAACTATAAATCAACATGGATTTCAAGAAAATAAATCTACTAATACGGCAGTTCATGCATTTTATGCTCATTTAACCAGATTGATTGATGCAGGCGAGTGTCCTATTGGAATATTTTGTGATCTTACTAGGGCATTTGACTGGGTCAACCATGAAATATTTAAAAAACTAAAACAGATAGGTATTACAGGAAATTCTTTACAGTGGATTATGTCATTTCTAAACAATAGACAACAATATGTGAGTCTGCAGATGAGGATAGAGGATTGTGTGACCAGTTGTAGATCTAGTCTTGTTACTATAAACATTGGTGTTCCCCAAGGATCTATAATAGGACCAATTCTCTTTGTAGTCTACATTAACGACATCGTACAAGTGGACAGAGCGTAGATTTCACTATATATGCGGATGACACGTCAATTATTCTATCGAACAAATCCAACGTAATCCTTCAACATCAATGTAATGATTTTCTTTCATCTTTATATTCTTGGTTTTGCGATAACTCGTTGCATCTTAATGCAGAAAAAACGCAAGTTATACATTTTTACAATAAACAAAAATACCTGGAAGATCTTCAGTTTAATTTTAACAACATGCAAATAGCTACGGTGTCGTCAGGCAAGTTTCTGGGAATAACGATTGACGAAAGTTTTGATTGGAAGTTGCATTGTGGAGCGGTTGTTTCGAAGTTGAATTCCCTTAACTATTTAATTAGAAATTTAAAATATGTTTTGACGGAAAATCAGCTAATTATAATATATTATGCACTCGTGAAGTCTAGGCTAAAATACGGGATATGTTTTGGGGTATGTCTGGTTATGCAAATGGTATTTTCGTCATACAAAAGAAATTTTGCGTTGTCGCTGGTGTCTCCCGACTAACTAGAGAATATTTTAAAAAATATAAAATTTTAACATTAGCGTGTCTATACATTTTTGAATTACAGTAGTCTCTGTTTATAACGATATATATAACGATTATTCCTCTTATATAACGATAATTCCTCTATAACGATGAAAATAGTAAACATTGGTTGGTTCGCCATAAGGACAATGTCTTTCTCTATACCGATATCGTTCTCTCTTTATAGCGATGACTTTTCAGCGTTCAATAGTCGATGACAAATGTGTTATTGTGTTTAAAGTTCAGATTACCTGAGTCACTAGTGGCAAGGTCACTGTCCAGCGGTTGTTTTGTTTTGCGCTTAAGGAATGCGGCCACCCATTCTACTCATTCTTATCAGAGGGTTAAGTCGTTAGTAATAGTAAAGTCAAAAAACCCACGTTGCTTTAAAAACATAAAAAATCTACCGGTGACCGATAAAGCAAACAAGAGTGCGTGGATGACTACGGAAATTTTTGAAGAAGCGATAAGAAAGTGGGATATCGAGCTTAAAGGGAAAAAATTCTTCTGCTTGTAGACAATTGTCCTGCTCATTATGTACTGTGCGACCTTCTAAACATTGACCTTTGTTTTCTGCCAGCAGACACGAGTGTCCTTCAGCCCATGGACTAAAGTGTCATCAAGGGTTTGAACAGCCATTACAGGAGAAGACTTTTGATGGAATTGGTTGAGAACAATGGCGATATTAAACTAAACATTATTGACGCCATCCTAATGATTAGTAAATCCTGGGAAGAGATAATCAGCAATACAATAAAACATTCCTTCAAACACGCAGTATGGTTGAAAGATCAATGACTGATGATGAAGATGAATTGCCATTAGGTGTTTTGGATCACACAGTTTGAACTTACGGACCTACGGACCGGAAGAGCTAACAGATTTTGAAGAAGTGAATGAAAATGTAGCTACAACATCTGGACTTTCTGAAGACGTCAGGTCTATTCCGTGGAAGGGGAAAAGGAAACAGACCAAGGTATTAGACTTTTTTGGTAATGTAGGCTAAATATATTTTACAGTAGCATATTATTTTATTGTACAGTACATATGTTTTAATTGTACAGTCATTTTTTTTACTGTACATTGCTTATATTATTCTTTATTAAATCTATATGGTGTACAATACGGTGTTATTCATTTATATTCGTTTTAATAATTTTTTTAAATTAAAATGGGTTATTTAGTACAGTATTATGAATATTACAGTACCAAATTTTGTCTCTCTCTGTATAACGATCTCTCCTTATAACGATGAAAATTCCCGGTCCCTTGCATATGGTTAGAGATAGAGAGAGGACTTACATCAGTTTAAAACGAGTGGTAATGTGCATAACATAAATACTAGATATTGTTATAAACTAAACGATTTTCAAAAGGTAACATTAAATTTAATTAGCCCAGGGTATACAGGCCACAGGTGTTTAATCATTTGCTCACATTTGTAAAGTCCACCAGTTCAATAAATGTATTTAAGAGGAATATTAGGCAATTTTTATGTGAAAAAGTGTTTTATACAGTCGAAGAATTTTCTAGATCTTAGATATTAGCTTACAGCTTACAGATTAGCGAATATCTATAAGAACAACAAACCGTATAGCAGAATACCCGTTGGAAGGCGGCCAAAAAGGTGGAAAGATAATGTACAATCAACAACGACTGAAACAGAATACTAGGCAGACAAACAGGAGTAATCCTAGTCGCACGAAGAAGAAGAAGAAGGTATTAGTTGTATTTCATTTAGCTCTTAAAGTCATTTCATGCCTAGTTTAGTCTAGTTAATGTTTAGTTTTTAGCAATGTATATTTATGACTAATTCTATACAAACTATATTTGTCAGAAAGAAAATAAAGAATTCTAATTTGAATGTATTACGAGCTTTTACTGAAATTTGCCCTGCAAGAAAGTAATTGAAAATTGACTTATTCTGAATTAAGTCAGTTTAAGGTCATAAAAAGCACTTGTTGTTCTTAGATTGTGTAATAAATGGCGTACTTACCCCGATTCCACCACAGGAAAGTCTGACGAATGCGGTAACCGGCAAAGAGCTCAATTTACTCATATCTGTTTTATGTCTATTTAACGAACTGGTTCCATATAATAGAACGTGAGATTCTGAATGACAAGTTTGCAGCTCTTGAGGCGTCGCTTTTCGAGGTCTTAACTTATCACATCTAAAAAAATCAAGAATATAATATCATTAGCTTTATAAAAAAAATAACAAGTACGCATCGAAATATTTACTTGACTTCGAGTATCGATTGCATTTAAAAATAGATAGAAGTATTTGCACAAAATTAGACTCAATCAAGTAGGTTCAGTTATCGCATATTTAAATATTTACTAAAAGAAGTTTGAAAAATAAGATCTAACTGGAAAATGTTACATTGCAATGAATTAAAATTAATCTGGTTTAGAAGGAGACCTTGTAGCCAAGTTAATGGCATCAAGGCATTGTCACAGCTGCACTGGATTACGGTACCTTGATGTATATGTCTGCTTCAAATACTGACTTAAGGTTACTTAACTCTGTGAATAACACTTCCATGCATCTCTTCTTAGGCGTCTTAAATCCAGTCCAGTAGAGAGCCTTTATCTCTTACATAATCCAGTAGAGAGAGAACTTTAATATACATAAACTCGTTAAAGAAGTGAGGAGTCATACAAAACCTTGCAGTTTTAACAGTACTGTGAATGACAATGAATTAATTACTGATCCCAATGATCTACTTTAACATTGAAGAAACTACACACAGCAACTATACTCAGACAACACTAGAAGAAACTCTGAAAGTGAATATAAAAGTTAACCCTCCCCCAAAATATTGAAGACAGAAGTTGTAAGGGCAATCAAACAGGGCAAATGGGGAAAAGCATGAGGCCCAGACGACATAGACATAGAGGTTCTAACAATGTTGCGTGAAGACAATATAGACAAGTTGGTAGATCTTTTTAATGACATTTATGGGTCCGGTCAAATACCACAGGATTGGCTTCAATCAACCTTTATACCAATCCCAAAAAAAGTCAAACGCTAATAGTTGCGACCAATTCCGAATGATCAGCTTATTGAGCAGGTCCTAAAACTCTTCTTAAAAGTAATTCACACAAGAATATACAACAGATGTGAAAAAGACATTAGCCCCACAAAGTTCCGTTTCAGACAATGATTTGGCACAGGAGAAGCACTTTATAGCTTAACTGTCCTACTTCAGAAATGTAGAGATACGCAAAAAGAAGTCTTCCTATGCTTTATAGATTACCAGAAAGCATTCGATTGTGTTAATCATTCAGAATTAGTAAGATTGCTCCAGGAACGTTTGATAGATGAGAATGGCCTTAAAATCATGAAGAACCTTTATATGAATCAAGTGGCATCTGTGAGAGTAGGACTGGAATCTACATCATATTTCTCAATCGAAAAAAGTGTACGACAGGGTTGTGTTCTGTCACCCCTCCTTTTTAATCTTTACTCTGAAACGATTTTCGATAGATCCCTAAGTGACACTGAAGATGCAAACAAAAGCAACGGACAGACTATTAGTAATCTTCGCTATGCTGATGATACAGTCATAATAACTGATAGCCAAGAAGCGCTACACCTACTAATAGATAGAATAAACACTGAATGATAACTTCGAATTGCGTGCTATCTCGTCACTGTACCATACACCATCGCTTTTTTCGGAAAATATGTTAAAAAAATCATACATATAGGGTTTTTCCTTGACTTCATGTCTGCAGAGAGGTTGTAAAGAAGGGCAAAGTTTCGTGACCGGCAACAAACAAGTTTATCGAAGAGTGGCTAGCGTTACTTTTCTTACAGAGGATTTGGGGAAGTAGGATGGTGACATCCCTGGCAATTAGAGCATTTTGGGGTGTTGGCCGTGGTGCATGTCTGAGATTTATAATTTTACTCGAAGTAATTTGGGGTCATCTGCGATACGTGGTGAGCATTCTATATTAAGACGTCCGCTTTTACAGCACCTCGAGCAGTACTTTTGGTGGAGAGTGATAATATATTTTTCTCCCATTTCCCATCTATAAGGATACGTTTCGGAAGATAAGCTTACTTGGTTTCACAGTCTATATGATGGCACGGGTTATGTTCGATTTGAGGAACGCTGTAGTTTGTGGCTTTTTCAGCTGTGATTAAAAAAAATCCCACTAGAACGAGTCTAACGGCGTCAAATTATACGATCTCATTGACCAGTTTACATCACCTCCACCTGAGATGACCATTCCCTCAAATCGCTCGTGCAGAGTGTCCTGACCTGTGTGATGGCCTGGTCAACGTCGTGCGTAATTAAATATGGGCCAATGAAGCCGTTAGCCCAAGATACAAATTAAACAGTGACTTTCTTGGAATGGATTAGACAATTTGAGAAATATGACTGTGGCTATCTGTCCAAAATTCGGAAGTTCCCGCCTAAAAAACTATAAAAATATAATGTAGTTAATATATACAAGCGTTCAAGAGAACACCTATACAAAATAGGTAATGTGAATGAACCATGGTACAAAAAATCCAAATTGAAAGAAGAGACTGTCATACACATCCTATGCCATTGAAATGTGCTAACTGATACGAGGAAGGAATTCATTGGCCAACTAAGAATTGAAACATAAGAGATTCTAAAACTTCAACAGACTTACAGGATATGGTACAAAGGTCTTATGACCAACTGTCAAAGATTGGCGTGTCTCAGATAAACTAAGAATAAGAGACCATGTACAGGTTTCACTCTCTAACACCAAGCCATCAAAACTTGATTAAAATAAAATAAAAAACCCCAATTCCGTTGCCATAGCGACAAATTCACAGATATCCTTATGAAAAGTAATTCAATTTACCAGTCCTACTATTTTATATTCAATAGTCTTAATCTCTACTGCAGATCAAAATTTCCTAAATCAAAAACTTTAAATCTAGATAAATAGTATGCAGCCAATTATTGTGTCTATACTCTTCAATTGGAGTGAAACAACGACCTTTGGCATTACCGTTTGATTAAAAAACAAACCAAAATTGAATCACTTAATAAAAAACTGTTAAGGGAATCCGTATGTAAACAGCAGCAAAACAGTCGTGTTGTCACAATGTGTAAATACAATGCTATGTACATAATATTTAGTTTGTCGTGTATTAAGGTTGTCTTGTTTGAGGATAGTTTTTATTGAAATGGTGACGCAGTGGCAGTGACAAAGTTATACGATATATAAAAATATATACGATTCTAAAAAACCGTATGACGAAATATACAAATATATTTCGCGACCTAAGCGAAAACAAGCGGTAGGAGTATGATAAACAAGGCTTCCTGCTGTATCATTCATACTAATCATACTCATACTTTGAAAGGATGTGGTGACGTTGCTCCATTCGGTTAATTATCGCTGTCCATTCAGCTCTTCGTTGTACACGTTATTTTGCCTCCAAAAATGAGTAGCCAGTCATATTTGGTCTCGAGATCAAGATCAATGATTTCCTCTAGATCTTTAAGAGATCTAGATCCAGAAATAAAAAAGTTTTCTAAAGAATTTTATTTAGTTTTATAAAACTTTTCACCTCTACCTCCATCTTTAATAAATACCAATATAGTATAGGCAGAGTCGGAAATTTTGTTTCTTAGCATGTTTTGGGAGAATGCAGTGAGCTGGGCCGTACATTAATACAATTTTATAAAGAAGAAAATTTCATCATAATGAATACTTGGTTTAAGAAAGCCGATGTGATGAGGAGAACTTTCGAAATAGAGTGTACATCAAATTATCACCAAGACGAAGATGTAGACTTCATCGAAGAAGTCGAGGAACAACAAGTAATGCCCAAAGAACTAGAAGAGATAATCACACCTACATTTCGTCAAGAAATAAACAAACTAATTAAAAATAGCTCACCGAGAAAACCACCAGGTCTAGATGCATTTTCAAATAGAGCTTTAAAGTATCTACCACCAAAAGCAATAGTACTTTTAACCAACATATCGAACGCGATCCTTAGATACTTATTTCCAAATCGATGGAAGGAAACCCACGTTCTCATGATTCCGAAGCCAGGAAAGAATACCATGTTTCCGCATAACTACAGGCCGATAAGCTTACTGCCAGCAGCCAGCAAAGTCGTAGAAATAATAATACTAAGAAGATTACAAGCGGAAACATACGAAATGGGAGTAATCCCAGAAGCTTAGTTCGGATTTAGAGCAAAACACTCTAGCGAATTACAAGTACTTAGACTGACAGAATACTGATCTCTTCGTATTTGAGCAACCGAAGCTTCAGGGTACGAATAGGACAAGTACTATCCGAGCATGGAGCTCCGGAGGCTGGAGTGCCACAGGGAGTAGTCCTGTCACCCCTACTGTACACAATATACACATATACAGATGTTCCAAGAACACCAGGAACACTACTAAGCTACAACAATCTACAGACAGCATTGGATAATTATTGTTTTTGAAATTTGTAACGTTATGAACGTCACATGTTTGTTATTTTTCTTTAAATAGTTATATAAATTTGTTTTGATTTTATTCATATATTAACTTCATATGTTACCAAATAAAAATTGCTACAATTACTACAACTTAATCTACCAAAAAAATAGCCAGAATAAAACTTAGAAGAAGACCAGACCAACTCAAAAACGTAAGAATTTTTTTAATTTGGAAACTGCTAAGATGTTTCAAGAAACAGTTACTAAAATAAAAATTGCTTAACTGATGGTCCTCAATATCGGAAAAGATAAACACACAACAAAGAAAGCCAAAAAATTAAAGGAGAAAAAATATAAATAACTAAAACAACCAATGGATACACCTACCTGGAGACCAATCCAGTTTCGAGTAATCTGGACCAAATACTTTGTAACCTTCCGGCGTGTTCGGGATGAATGGCGTTGTTGCCGCACACGCATGCGTGCCTGAGCATTTGGTTGTCGTAAGCAAGACCTGTTGTGGGCGCCGATGAAGCTCTCCGCCTTGACAACGTGGGGCCTTCTCCTGGGGGTCCTAGGTGTACTACAGGTGAACTTAACGCTCTGGACAGCGGCCGTATACTGAAAGAAAATGATATAATTACAAAACAATCCTAGATTTTCATGGTTATTGAACATTTCGATAGAACAAAAATTACAATTTCTGGTTATAGAGGAAAAGAAAGAAGGAACATGTCGAAAGGAGGAAGTAGAGAAGAGTAGGAAACACTAAACTTCCTTCCGCTAATAAACTTGTCTTTTTCTATATACAACAAAGTAGAACTGAAAAACAAGTCCCTTTTTTTTCCGGCAATATTTTTAATTGTACTAATTTAATCGTAGCATTATGCTCGTAGATCGGTATGAATACTTTAGAAAGTTACTAAATGAAGACCACTAGAGGAGACACAGAGGATGCGGAATCCCAAATGAGAATGTGTTAATGTGTACGAGAGTTAAGCTTGTCGAGGCTTTAAATGGGACTTATGGAATAATGGTGAGACAGTAGGACCTGATAAAATACCTTTGGAGGTTTGGAATGATCTAGGAGAAGAAGAGGTTAATGTGTTGTGGCAATGATGAGTAGAATACCTATATGAGGAAGAAAGGATGCCTAATGCATGGCGGGAGACCGTGACGGTACCAATCTATAAAGATAAAGGGGATATTCTGGACAGTAAGAACTATAGAAGGATAAAGCTAATGTGACACACAATGAAAAATTTGAGCGAAGGTTAAGAGGAGATATCGGTAGGAGAAGAACAGATTGGGTTTATCTCAGGAAGGACAATAGATGCCTTATTTGCTTTGAAATAGTTGATAGAGAAATACGGCGAGAAGAAAAGAGAGCTACGTTTGGTATTCACCGATCTTGAAAAGGCGTATAACACAGTACCAATAGACAAGAGCTATTAAGAAAGATATACAAGAGTGTGGTGATTCCTAGAATGGTATAGAGCGGTGAAGTGTAGAATTAATTATGGTTTGTGCCAGATTTATGGGTCTTTAAAATTGATTGATCATTTTGTCTTTTAATCGAGGTAAACACACACTGTCATAAGCACCTTCTAAATCTAGAAATAAGGTAGGTAAATAGTTATTTCTAAAAAAATTACTCTGTGTGTCCGTTACAAGTGTAGCTATAGCATCTAAAGTTCCACATCCTCGTTTGTATCCAAACTGATTGTTTGGTAGTAATTTTTTGGAATGGACCCACCATTCTAGTCTATGTTTTAACATCCGTTCCAAAGTTTTAAATACATACAAAATGAGAGAAGTTGGTCGATAAGATTTTCCCGAATTTGGATCTTTTGCAGGCTTTAGAATCGGAATAGCAATGATGTCTTTAAAAAAATCTACCTCAGAATTCTCTCGGATGATCCGATTTAAAAAGTCTACATAATAGAAAATGTTTTGCTACTTCTGGAAGGTTAATAAGCATGGACTATTTGATATGATCGCATCCTGGACTTTTATCTTTACGATAATTTACAACGAAAATTAGTTCATTGTAAGTGAAAGGTTTTAATAGAAAATGATTTTTGTCAGATGGGGTTGAATCTATGTAGCTGGATTTTTGAGGGGTCGTAGTTGACGGTGCAACTTTAATAAGAAAGTCATCAATCCATTTCTGATAGAAAGTGTTTTTTTTTCTCTTTTTCTAGGAGAGCGACGGTCTGTATTCGAGAAATCGCAAGATTATCTTGATAGAGTCGTGAGGTGGTGCAACAAATGGAGGGTTACTTTAAACCCCTCCAAAACAGAAGCAATTTTATTTAGACCCCCGTACGGACGCGGCCTTCAAGGCCGGGTGACACTTTTGGGGGAGGACCTTATTCTCAGGAACTCAGTTCTCTACTTGGGAGTTCGTTTTACGAGAACTCTCAATTGGAAGGCTGACGTCCAAGATTCCCTTGACAGGATGAGAAAAAGGCTTAACCTCCTGAAAGTGTTGGCCGGTAAACTAGGAGGAACGTCCTCTAACACACTGTTGCACACCTAAGACTTTCATCAGACCGATAATCGAATACAAGGCATGCGTTTACCTCTCCCTGAGGAACCACGAACTCAATGCCATTACCGCCACAGAGCGTAGAATACTACGCTTCTGCATGAGAAAAGATTGGCTGTATCCATCCGCCCACATATATGCAATAACCAACATCACGCCTATCAAGGACAGAATCCTAACCCTCAGTAGGAAGTATATCTTAAGAACCATAGCTGTCTCGAACAACCGAGCAAAACAAACATTGAAGACACCTTGTTCACATAGAGGGCAAATACTCACCAGGCATCCCGCCAAAAAAGTTCCATTCCCTCCAGCTAAACTTCTACATAACGCTGGACCTGAACTTCCTGAGGAGTATTTTGATATTTTAGAATCTTTCCCCACCATGGCTGGTAACCCTGAAGTACCTTACACTGCATGCTAGGCAAACCCACTTCTTCTTGTGCGTTCACGATTCTTATCGATCACAAAATAAGCCACCTTCTTTTCCCCTTCTTTCCTTAGCAGTTCTCTGCTTCTTGGGCCGCGTTTCGTTCAGTTGAAGTTTTTCTCGTAACCCCCACAACTCCGTCAAAAAAAGGAGTTCCCCGTTCCTTGAAGAGGCGTAAGCCTAAACAAGGTTAAAACTCGAGGTTGTTGTTGTTTGTTGTTCTCTTTTTCACCTTTTCATGGAATGTTCGATATTTACTTTTATTGGGCAAGAAATAGGGAGAGTTCAAAAACCAAATAACGATTTCTAATATTCGGTAATACATTTATATTCAAAGAAGAAAAAGTATACTTGTAGCCTTAATTTCAAACAAGTTCAGTAGGTATATAATTACACATTTCTTCGGTAATAAGTGTATTTAATGACTCTTTTATTATTTTATTACAAAAAAAAAATCGGAACTGAAGTCTGATGTTCTTTTAGACGGTAATTTAAAATTATCATGTTTAGTAGAGCCATATAATATCGCTAATAATTCAGCCATCCGCTACACTCCATCTCTGTATTATCAAATCTCTCGTCTCTCGCGCGTCGACGGTTTTCTCCCTCTACAATCTGTCCTTGTCACGTTTTTCTAAAAATAACTCGAAATCGATAAAATATAAAGCGACCACCTTACATTTACAAAAATAGACTCGGAAGCCCTCACACGAACACGGGAGTTACTTGCACAGAGCAAGAAAACAAAAACAAGTCGATAAAGGTAGTCGGTGGAGATTGCAGTCGATATAAAATTTCAATCTTTTTATTTACTTTGGTTTTGGCGAGGTAGAAATGCATTTACATAAACTGTATATGAACTGGAAGCGTACGGGTTTAGATTTGTGAAATATTTCGCAACGTTAGACTCTTACGTCCCTTTTATTTTTGGTATGTAATTTAAATAGTTGCGTTAACACAAAATATCTTGCAAAAAAATTGTTTTTTTTTTCTTATAGCGACATATAAATATAAATGCCATATAAATCCACCAAAGCCCCAGGGGAAACTAAGACTTCAAAGCTTGGAGTATTGTTCGGCATCACAAAAAATGAGAATTCACCAAATTTTATCACAAAATATTGACACAACCACAAAAGTCCATCCTCCTCTATATTTTCTCCTTCGTAAGGATGTAGTGGCATTATGTAATTTGTTTGACTATTTTTGTCCAATTATCTCTCTCCCGTGAGTGTTGTTTTGCTTCGTACAATGAGTAATCAGTCTTGTCCCGCTACGTTACCTTCAACTATCATTCGCTCCATGCCTTCTCGTCTTCTATCTAGTTCATCATCAGCCCATAGTCGTCCACTGCTGAACATATGCCTCCTCGAAAAACCTCCATTCAGATGTATCTTGCGCTGCTGCAATCCAATTGGTACAAATCCTCTTTATGTCGTCAGTCCATCTTGTCGGTGGTCTTCCCGGGTTTCGTCTATCCGCTCTTGGTCTCCAATCCAAGATTTTTTTGGTCCACCTATTATCCTTCATTCTAGCGACGTGTCCTGCCCACCTCCATTTAATTTTGGCTACGTGTTTTATAATGTCTTCTACACCACTTTTTCTACGACTTTCTTCATTTCTTACCTTCTATCTCACAACGTTATGCCTAACAATGATCTTTCCATTCTACGTTGCGTCACTTGTAGTTTTCGTGTAGATGTCCTTGTTAGGGTAAGTGTCTCTGCGCCATATGTAAGGACAGGCAGGACACACTGATAGCTGATAGGTATATCACCTTTAAAAATATCACGCAGTCTTGCGTCATATCATGCTCACATGCAACTAGGAAATGCATAAAAGCAGCCTATCTTCCGATCGGAGGTGACGCTAGTTCTTAATCTTGGCCAAGCAAGACTTATTTTGGCTGAGTAGCCCGTTTTACGAAACTCTGCCTTTTATTTCTCACCTATACCAATAATCATCGAACTGTAAGACTTCGTCACGAAGAACGTTTCCATATCTCTTGTAATTGTTGGAGATAAATACAAGGTCTCACGACTTTACCACAAATCAGAAGTGGAGGAGGCACTTAGTTGTTCGAGATAAAGGAAAATCTGGAAAACGGACTTAAAATTATTTCACAAAGATTATCTAACAGCTCGAGGGAACACTTCACTGTTCAGATAGATATTGGTTGATAAATTTAAAGAAAAAAAATTGACTATTGAAGATACTGCAATTGAGAGTGTAAATAACTATAAATACTTAGGAACATGGATAACATCAGATGTAGACCAAACCAAAATAATTAAGACACGTATTGAAATAGCACGTACATCATTTATTAAACTTAAAAAGTTTCTTTGTTGTCAGGATATAAGGTTAGAACTACGCCTGAGAATGCTTCGATGTTACGTGTTCTCTACTCTTCTTTATGGTCTGGAAGCTTGGACACTAAAACATGTTCATATGAATAAGTTAACCGCCTTTGAATTTTGATGTTACAGAAGAATCCTACGAATATCATGGATTCAAAGAATGTCAAACATGGAAGTAACTAGAAGGATAGGAAATGAGGCGGGAAATAATATTAACTATTAAAAGACGAAAACTTGAGTACTTGGGACATGTGATGAGAGGGTAAAAATACGCATTATT